TTCAGCCAATAGACGGCATTTACTCCGACGGCCAATTTGCAGTGAAAACTTGAATTTCACGAAGATCAAAAGTTCCGTGCGAAGAGAATGGAAATCAGAAGTGGTTATCACAATAGGGGGAATCTTTTCCTTCTTAGCATCAAGCCGTTAAAGTTTATTAGAATCTTTCCAGGATGATGAATCATTACCATGGCGGCAGTAAAACGTTTCTCCAACTCGACTTCCAAGCAGATTACTATAAGAATCTGAAGGTTCGAAGAGAATTTTTCCAAATCGATATCCAAACAAGGATGAAAGAGGAATAAGAGTTTTTGTTTTTCTTTGATTTGCTTTATGTCGATCTTGTTTTCCGTACTGAGTACCAATGCTACCGATGCCAGGGAGACAGCTCCAACATCTGAACCCTACATATCGACTCATCCATTCAGTGACCGGAGCCCAACAGCTTTCCTTCCCCTTGATCAGAGATTGAATACTTCAGAAAATCCTGGTGGCGCCGCTAGGAATAAGAGTTGAACAAGGTATGAAATGAGCAGGTAATTTTGAGCACTGAAAAGTGCTGTTTAAATTTCTTTTAGCTTTAGGTAGCAGTAGCACTTCCTTCAGCAAAAAGCAACTAGATGCGCACGGCAAGAGAGCACGATGCGGACATGCAACTACTTTTTGGTATTATTCTTTGGTATTTTACCTCTTATGTCCGGCTGATCTTCACCAAATTTTGGTATCAGGAACAGAATTAGGTATTTTACGTTACGTTATTTTCTCCTGCTCAGGAATGAAATGAATGAAACCTGCGTTGTTATAACTGGAATCCCCCTCGGCTGTCATCCTGAATATTAGGTTTGTTCCCGTATTTGCTTTTTCCCTCTTACTGTAAGTTGCTGTATGAAAATAATACGGGAATCCTCGATTTGCGCGATTGGTGGTGCCGTCTACCCACCGTAATTTCTCAACTAAAGGGTGATACGGTCAAAATTTGGTCAATATCAACTTGACGTATTTCTTTCAATTTTGCATTCATAAAACCTGAACACCCCTCATTTTGAAGGTGTGTGTGTGTGTAGAATGTTGCTCCTATTTTGATTTTGGAATTCACTCTTCAGTTGTCAAAATGCCGTCCAAGCAAGAAGAGCAGCGTATCAAAATTTTGCTCGCGCATCGCGAAAATCCGAGCTACTCGCACGCAAAGTTGGCAAAATCGCTAAAAGTTGCCAAATCTACCGTTACAAATGTAATTAAAGTGTTTGGGGAACGTTTGTCGACAGCCAGGAAGTCTGGATCGGGGGGAAATCGAAAACCGGAAGCCGCTGAGACGACAAAGAGAGTTGCCGGTAGTTTCAAGCGAAACCCTAACCTCTCTCTCCGAGATGCCGCAAATAAGCTGGGTGTATCGTCTACAACCGTGCATCGAGCCAAAAAACGAGCCGGACTATCGACTTACAAGAAGGTAGTGACTCCAAATCGCGATGATAAACAAAATACGACGGCCAAAGCGCGATCCCGGAGGCTGTACACGACGATGCTGACGAAGTTTGACTGCGTGGTAATGGACGACGAAACCTAAGTCAAAGCCGACTACAAGCAGCTTCCGGGACAGGAGTTTTATACGGCAAAAGGAAGGGGAAAGGTAGCAGATGTTTTCAAGCACATGAAACTGACAAAGTTTGCAAAGAAATATCTGGTTTGGCAAGCCATCTGTACCTGTGGCTTGAAAAGCAGCATTTTCATAGCTTCCGGGACTGTCAACCAAGAAATTTACGTGAAAGAGTGTTTGAATAAACGTCTGCTGCCTTTCCTGAAGAAACACGGTTGTTCCGTACTGTTTTGGCCGGATTTGGCATCTTGCCATTACGGTAAAAAGGCCATGGAGTGGTACGCCGCCAACAACGTGCAGGTGGTTCCCAAGGACAAGAACCCTCCCAACACGCCAGAGCTCCGCCCAATTGAGAAATACTGGGCTATTGTCAAGCGGAACCTAAAGAAGACCAAAAAAACTGCTAAGGGCGAGCAGCAGTTCAAGGCAAACTGGCTTTCTGCGGCGAAGAAGGTGGACAAGGTGGCTGTACAAAATCTGATGGCAGGGGTCAAGCGTAAGGCCCGGCAATTCGGATTTGGAAAAGCGGAAGCCTAACTGAATATTTTTCCTGGATTTTATACTAATTGAACTTGAAAAAGAAATTTAATTTGATTTTTTAAATAAACGATTTCACCCATTTACACGCGTTTTCCCTTGACCAAATTTTGACCGTATCACCCTTTATCTTTCAACCAATAGAGCTGACTTTTTGCGAGTGTCAAGTTTGTGGTAGGTCCTAATTACATACAAAAAAAATCAGCTCAATTGGTTGAAAGATTGCTGATAAATGGCGGTGGGTAGACGGTACCACCCATCGCGTAAATCGGGAATTCCTGTATTATTTTCATACAACAACTTACTGCAAAAGCAAAAAAGCAAGTACGGGAACAAACCTATTATGTCACACTCTAATGGGGATGAAGAGTGTAAGATTCTGTAACAAACAGAGCATTAGACAGTAGCGTCCCATAACCTCACTTTTTACCTGTGCACCAACTTTCAAAACCAGATTTAATGCCATATTTATACTCGAATCGGTTGAAATATACACGTAATCTTCTAGTTTACTTGATTTCTATCCATTGCTAGCAATATTTTGATAATTGTTTATGTTTTGAGAGTTGGTGCACAGGTAGATTGAGGTTAAGGAAACGCCACTGGCAGTAGATATAGAGAAAACGTGGCGAAGGTTGCCGAATGGGGTGGTGGTTAATTTTGCCTCAATTTCACGGGACATAATTAATGCATGGTCCACATAACCTAGTCAGCTACCAAAATCAGGTCAGTCGAGAAATAGCAGTAAGTGGACAGCACCACCACCTATTAGGAATTATTTTAACGGAGCTTTTGAATTGCTTTAGAAAATTTTATTTTCTTTCATTAAATGGGATCAACAGAACTAAGTCTGTACATTAGACTGATGCAAAATTTGACTTTTTCGCTCCACAGTGCTTAAATGGTTTCAAATCGGGTCCCGATTAGCCTCCCAAAGTTACAACTCATTTGGTTAGATACAGACTTCGCACAAGCCATTTGAAGTTTACATGTAAATTACTATGGGAAATCTCAACTTTTTGTTCATTGCCTTCTAGTCTTTTTCCATATTGAGCTGGGAAACAGTTCGATAATCATTCTTATAGAAAATTTTCTCAGCTACAACTGCTGAATATCCTTTCTATGAAAAACGAGACAGGAAAAAGTTATTAATTATTTAAGAGATTGGTAAACTTATGACATGATCAAGCAGCTGCTCTGTAGGCAACACTGTATTTTGCAGTGTGACATAGTAGCCATGATTTTTGTGTCCTATACGGCGAATGAGAACGACCCAAATTTGAGTTTAGTTCACTCATAATCGCCAAAAGTGCAGGAACTCAGCGATGAGTAAAATTTGTCTCATGGTTTCCTGTGGAAAACCTAAAAAATCTGCCGGAAAATGAGGAAATTGACGAAAATTTTATTCAGTCTCGGAGTAGTACCAATAGACTGAGTGAATCCAATCTTTACTTTTCTCAAATTCGCGAATTTTTCCCTGGAAAATCCTGGAAAAACCTGGGAAAACATGAGGCAAATTTACTCACCGCTGAGTTCCTGCACTTTTGGCGATTATGAGTGAACTAAACTCAAATTTGGGTCGTTCTCATTCGTCGTGTATTCAACACCCCAGAAACACCAATGTTGCCTGCTGAGCAGTTGATTGAGCATGATCATAAGACATTAGCGCATTGAACCATTGATAACTTTCGATCCTTGCATTTAATCAAAAAGTGGTCTTTAGTAAAGTTGTAGCTGGGAAAACAGTTGAAAGCTTTTGAAGCAGACCGATATGGTGAAACACTAGATAGACATGAACAAAAATCTTGGTTTTACCATAGTAATTCCTATACAAACTTCAAATGGTTTGTGCCATGTCAGTTTCTCACCAAATGGGTTCAAATTTTGAGAGGTCAGTCAGGACCCGATTTGGAATCGTTTAAGTATTGTGGAGCGAAAATTTCAAATTTTGCATCACTCTACTGTACATATTTGAATTATATATAAATATTTTTTTAATTTTTGATTTTCCACAGATCTTTATACTTTTACCAAACAGTCGCGCAATTCAAAAACCCAATAAAACCTTACTGACTGGACTAGTGTGTATCATCAACCGCATTTGTGCAAACAAGCTTTCAAATCATTTATTTTTGTTGCTGGCCGCTACTAATCATTATATGCCTTTTATGTCACATGTCAATTTGTCATGATAATGACATTTTTGATTCCCTACTTCTAACGATAAATCTAGAGCAACATGGGAAAAGGGCCTATAAGCAAAACCTAAATAACGATGGTCACGAGTCACAACAGGTCAACGCAAACTAAGCGTACCATCTGATGGAGAAAACTTTCTCTGTCAGATGCTGATGATGGTTCTCCTCAATGTGTTGAAATCCACGAGAAATCTCCGTTTAAAGTAATTGTTTACATAGCCCGTTTACACCAGTTGCTCTAGAAATATAATGGTAGTTCTTACAGAGAGATTGTAGTGAACAAGTAGGGATTGATTTTATTTGAATTTTTTGTAAGAAAGTTGTACCAAATTTAGCTGCTATTTAAGATAAAATGATCAAATATATGGACAAAAAGCAATCGCATAAAATCAGCATTGATTGTATACGCTGGCGTATCTGGCATATTTTTACATAAAATAATAAGAGAATCTGGCATGTTCCGGATGAGAGTTTGACATGCTTTTTATATCTAAAATTAAATGCTTATTGATGTATTCTTCCACGCATATCGATAGCTCGTCGGATTATCGATTTACAAAGATTTTACTGTAGAAATATTATCTATTCTTGCCAAGCAATCAAAGTAAGGTTAAGTTTACTTTATTAAGGAGACTTTCATCTCCGGGTCAAACAATCAAAACCCAACTTACCACATTCATCCTTCACTTCTACAGCTCGAACGAAAACAGCCCCCACGAGAATCGATACGATTCCGAAGCAGCTGGAGCAGAGGCCCATAACAGCCGTTACCATCGGTAGCCCAGCATCATCATCTTGGCCACCGGATCCCGAATCACTGGCCCGTTTCCTCTCCAGCCGTACGTCTTCTGGAATGTGGTCGCTAGCACCGCCCGGATGGTGCGAGCTCAGTTGACCAAGTTGATGAATGATCACACTGTACTGGGCCACCTCACAAATGCCGACCAGAATCGATGCCAGTACGAGCGTTAACCGCAAATTATGCAAAGCCAGCAGATTATGACGCCTGAAATGATACACAAACAAAACCAACAAATGCAACACATTAGAAATAAGCTCGAGTGAGTCGCTCGGTAGAAGAAGCATGTATGGAAACACTTTGGACTTTGGAGAAATGCAATTGCATAAATGGCCATAAGTGTGCAGACCAACAACATCGGACGGCGGCCGGACTGGGTGGTGAATGTGTAACCAGTAAATCATCACTTGTTTTGAATGAAAATGAATGTCGTCGGCAGGCGGGACAAGAGGGGTTGAAGAAACAGAACGGACGTTCGGCAAGTAACTGCAAAAGCTTTATGTAGGGTATCCAGTAGACTGATGCAAAATTTGTACTCAAACGGCTCCAAATTGTGTACTGATTAGATTCCCAAAATTTTAACTTATTAAGTAAGAAACTGACTTGGCACAAAGCATTACAAGTTTATATGGAAGTTGATATGGGAAAACAAAATGCACGATATCACTCTGCTTTAAAATATGATAACTGTGCTTGTAGAAAATTTTCTCAGCTACAACTTTGTTCAAAACCACTTTTCGATCAAATGTATGGAACAAAAGTTATTAATCATTCAAGTCACTGGTGTCTTATGCTATGATCAATCAACTGTTCAGTCAGCAACTTTGGTGTTTCTGGCGCGTAGAATAAAGCATAAAGGGCCACTCACATTAGATCCGTTTGCGTTGCGTTGACGTAAATTTGACAGTTAGACAATAGATTCAGCTGTCACTTTGCCGCAACGCGTCCAATCCGGATCTAATATGCGTTGGCCTTAACAATCATGGCTACTATGTCACATTGCAGAATACAGTGTTTGCTACAAAACAGCTGCTTCATCATGCTATGAGACTATCAATCTCTTAAACAATTAATAGATATTTAATTTGACGATTGATTTGCAAACGATTTTCCACAAAGTTGTAGCTGAGAAAATGTTCCATAAGAATAGTTATAGGACTTTTTAGCAGTACAATTTGGAAAAACCTAGAAGGATATGAACACAAAGTTTGGTTTTCCAATAGTAATTTCTATATAAACTTCATATGGTGTGTGCCAAGTCCGTTGCTTACCGAACAAGGGTTATAAGGACCTGATTTAGAACCGTTTGAGCACTGTGGAGCGATAGTTTCAAATTTTGCATCTGTCTAGTGTCCAGTTTATTCTATCTGCACTAGGCATAGGGAAGCATCAAGAGTAAGAAACTAATTGATTTGATTTATAGAGTGTCATTGCTTTTGTGAGGATTCACGCTGGAAGGATACAACGATTGCAACGGAAATATGGAGCTTTTACTTCATTAGGGATACGGGTATACACAAAACAATACAGGTAGGTTGATGCTGTACATTTAATTAATACTAAATACTTGAATAATACTAAAAGTTAGTCAATGATTGGTAGAAGATACTGAATGAGGCTTCATATTGTAGATTGTACACGTATCTGGATTGCTTGTAAATATTTCAGTGAGACAAAAAGAATGAACAAAGAGGTGAACGCCTATGCTATTTCACATTTATATCGCTGTGTAGCAACTGGAAACTGTAGGGGAAATTTATATCTGTAACTGTTCGTCATTGTTTGAGGAAGGTACGATTCGGATTGATCATCTGTCTATACCAAGTTCCCCAGTTGTTCTTGTTCGCTTTCTACTCTGTATATACAATTTTCGCACTGCGGTACTCTAACGGCACTATCAACTCAGTCAGTTGCTTTACCTGCAAGTATGCTTTTCAATAAATCGTTAAAAGAGGGCATTTTTCCTAAGTGAATGGAAGACTGCAGCTATCACTCCCATTCATAAAACTGGTAGTGTTAAAGATATTGAAAATTACCGTGCAATTTCCACTCTGAGTTGTTTTCTCAAAGTTTTGGAAAGCCTTATCCATGATTCGCTGTACCGTAACGTCCATCATGTGATATCAGAGAGTCAACACGGATTCGTAAGTAAGCAATCCACAGCAACCAACTTGATGCGCTACGTCAATTCGCTCTATTACCTCCGGGGGTGCCTCAAGGGAGTCACTTAGGACCACTACTTTTCGTACTGTTTGTGAACGATCTTTGCGTACTCATCAAATCACCGAAGTATATGTTCGCTGATGACCTGAAATTCATTTGTATAATCACCTCTATGGTGGATTGCGGTGCTCTTCAATTGTACATCGACTCTCTTCTTGAATGGTGCTCATTGAACGGAATGGAAGTGAACATTCGCAAATGTAATGTTATTTCATTCAACCGATCGAGGACAACTGCAATTTTCGAGTACAAGATGTTTTCTTCAAATGTTAACCGAGTGTAATCAATCAAAGATCTGGGTGAAATTCTTGACATCAAGCTGACATTTACCGATCATAGAGCCAGCGTTGCCAGTATTCCAGATTTATCTGGATTTTACAGATTTTTAGTCGTCTTGCCAGATACACAGACAGACCACGTATATTTCCAGACTTTTTAAATATGTTCCAGATTTTCCCATGTTGCTTTAAAAATATCACTGCAATTGATTTACCATCTAATCAAAAAATAAAAAGCCAAATCTATTATTACTATTATTATTAAAGTCCATCAATTTGATGGACATTATTGGAATTTTAAGGTAATTCTGAAAATAGTTCACAGTAAAGTGTAAGGTGAATTCCTTGTGAAATCGAGAATTTCAAGCTAGTTTTGAGTAGAGCTCCACCAATCTTTGTGGGCTTCGTGGTCGTGCGACTTCACCCGTCATTCAGGCGTTTTGTGAGTGCCATGAAGTGAGGGTTCGATTCCCGCTCCAGCCGATGCAAATTTTGACAACCTGAAAATTTCCCTACTGGTCTACTGGGTGGGGTGTGTTGTTCGTTGTCTAGTGTTAACTATTCAGTCTGTGGACCTCTGGCTGAAGACGGTGTCAATTGTCTTGTCAACTCTGATGATAGTTGGATGAAGATGGATAAAGGAAATACAATCCGGAAGAGAAATCATAGAAAATTCTTATGATGAAACTTAAGGAGTATGCTGATACGAATCGTGAGAATAATTTCAATAGAATTCTGTCCAATGTATCTATGGAGATTTATTTTAATAAAAAATTAAGACATATAAACGGAATTATGCGCAATTTCGGCGAGACTTTCAAAACCGTTTTGGCAAAGTACTTGAGTAATTAGTAAATACTGAAGAGGATTTCAAAACAATTCTAACCTTAACTAGAAAGCAGTTCAAAGGGAATTATCGGATGAGTCTGAGAAGAGCGTACCGGTTATTCTGAAGGATTGTGCTACATTTCCCCGAATGTCGTTTCCCCGAATGTCGTTTCCCCGAATGTCGTTTCCCCGAATGTCGTTTCTCCGAATGTCACTTCCCCGAACGCCATTTCCCCGAAATTTCCCGAACAACTGATCCGTTAGATTTTGACTTCAAGCGATGTGATTTTGCAGTTTTGAGCTCAATGATTTCGGACGTCGGATGGGTGAATCTTCTAATTGGTTGCAGTGTCGATGAAGCGGTATCGATATTCTACGACAAGCTTTATGGAATCATCAGCGAAGTTGTGCCTCTAAAACAACGGATCGACACCCACAGGAAGAAACAACCATGGTGGAACAATGAACTGCAACGGCTGCGAAATCGTCTACGCAGGGCAAGGAAGCGTTACTTTCGGTCTAGGAATGAACAGCATAAGGCTGAGCTGCGTGACTTAGAGAGCGAATATAACTCTTTGCATGCATAATGCTTTCGCTGCTACATTCATCGTACTGAAGCAAGTTTGAAACAGGACCCCCAACAATTCTGGCAATATGTGAAGACCCGTAAGCGATCCAACGGAATGCCTCGACATCTTCGTTACCAAGGTGAGGCAACTGAATCTCCATCAGAATCTGCAAATCTGTTCTCGGCGTTCTTTCGAAGTGTGCAAAGTAATAACCGACCACCTTTGACTGAATCGTACTTGAGCGATTTGCCGCACTACGACTTGAACGTGACCGTCTACAACTTCTCTCGGCATGATGTTTTTGCTAAGCTGGTTTCTATCGACACAGATCGTCTGTCACCTTTCTTCATCAATCGGTGTGCGGAGTCAATCGCTTTGCCTGTGAGTATACTCTTCAACAGATCTCTTTCGGAGGGCATATTTCCCAACCAATGGAAAACTGCAGCCATCACTCCCATTCATAAAAGTGGTAATGTTAATGACGTCGAAAATTATCGTGCAATTTCGATTTTGAGTTGCTTTCCTAAAGTCTTGGAGAGTCTTGTCCATGATTCTTTGTATCGTAACGTTCAACATGCGATATCAGAGAGTCAGCATGGATTTGTCAGGAAGCGGTCAACAACAACCAACCTGATGTGCTACGTTTCTACTCTTGTGGACAGCCTTGAAAAGCGACAACAGGTCGATGCAGTTTATGTCGACTTTTCTAAAGCATTCGACAAAGTGCCGCATGCACTGGCAGTAGAAAAACTCAAACGCATGGGATTCCCTCAGTGGCTTACTCAATGGATTGAATCGTACTTGTCTGAGCGTTGGGCTTTTGTACGCCTCGGTGGAACCTCATCTGAAACGTTCTCAATTACTTCCGGGGTTCCCCAAGGAAGTCATTTGGAACCATTACTTTTCGTGCTGTTTGTTAACGATCTGTGCGGACTCATCAGATCACCGAAGTACATGTTCGCTGATGACTTGAAATTCTTCCGCCTGATAACCTCCATGGTCGATTGTTGCGCTCTTCAGATGGATATCGACTCGCTTCTTGAATGATGCTCATTAAACGGAATGGAAGTAAATATTCGTAAATGTAACATCATCTCGTTCAACCGATCTAGGACAACTGCCATTTTCTATTATAAGATGAACGCTTCAAGTGTCAACCGTGTGTCATCAATCAAGGATCTTGGATTAATACTGGACAGGGTGATACGGTCAAAATTTGGTCAATATCAACTTGACGTATTTCTTTCAATTTTGCATTTAAAAAACCTGAACACCCCTCATTTTGAAGGTGTGTGTGTGTAGAATGTTG